AATTATTTGATTTTATAATTTTATATACTTTTTATACTTTTATATTTTATTTATTTATTTATTTTAAATTACATAAAACAAATTTTTGTAAAGATCCTAATATTATGAATTTTTGTGACAAAATATTGTGTGTCAATATCTAAAGTTAATGACAATACAAAATAACTGTCAAATTATATAATTAATAAAAAATCAAATTTTGAAAATTTATTATTGACTCAAAACATAAATAAATCTTTAATTTGTTTTATTTTCTTGTAATATTAATATCTATCTTTTAACTCAAATTATGTCGGAAACAACGTTACAAATGTTCAGGTGGTTTCAAAGAAATTATATATATAAATAAAATATTAAAGAGAATATAAGATTGATTTGTAGTAATTTAAAAGAAAAAATAAATAAAAAGTGAGATGATTTGGTTTGAAGGAAAAGTAGTTTTTTTAAAGAGAGAATTTATCGTTAGCCATTATTGATTTGATTAAATTAATATAAAAAGAGACATTCATAATTTATGTGTCACAGAAGGTATAACATTAAATTTATTCTCTTATATGTTGTTGGTTACGTTCAGTGATTTGAGAGATTAATAACTGAATTTAGAGTTTTTTTTTATCCCAACAAGTCTAAATTTACTTATGCAAATTTATCTTTCCTTATAGTTTTTATCTTTATTATTATTAGTTATAAAAAATTAATTTTTGTTATAAAATCAATTTATAAGAAGATTTTTTTTAAAAGACACAGTTTTTATTAAATAAACTAATTCAATCTTATTGATAAACATTCTGTTATACATTTCTAACAAATCTAACCAATTTCGCTTTCGATTGAAATATTATCGTTAGAATCAATCACTATATTCAAAATATTATATGCTTTGAAGTTTGAAATTTTATTACAATTTGTCTAAGATGATTGAAGGAAAAAAATGTATTTAAATTATCCTTAATCTTAAGTAATATAAGACTAATATATTTACCATAACAAACCCTTTATTCTAAGTATAAAGATAACGAGGTTCATCTCTCAATGAAGAATTATAGAATTGAAGAAAAAAATACTATTTAAACTTTTAAAACTAGGGAGACAATGACATATTTAAAACTACTTTTTCATAATAATTTATCTTTTTAAAACCTTATTTTTGTCCCAACATTAATGTTCCGTCTTAAAGTTCCTTAAAATAGCATTACGAAGTCAATTGTACTTTTTTTTTTGCTTTTAGCTTAGTAAACCCTTCATTATTTTTGTCCTTAAATTTGAATAAAAAACATGACTATTTAGTGATCAAAACAAAAATAAAAAAAAAACAAAATAATATAATTTCATTAAAATATATAAAACATTAGAAATGTTTTAACAGTTATATGTATAAAAAGAAAAATATAACATCACCAACAATACATATATACTCATAATAATTTCTCTTACTAACAAAAAAAATTCAAACAATATTCCCTAACTATAATATCTATATAACGGGTTAAGAATAATATTGAAATATTAATGACAATGAAAACGGTAACTTGAATGGCTATCAAAGTGAAAAATAGGTCAACTAAAGAACAATTGAAATGAAAATTAGGTAAATTAAAGAAGTATAATAAAAATACATGAATCTGTTTAGAAAGGAGAAAATTAGGAACTATATAAAAACAAAATAATATTTTAATACTTACCAACCGTTTTGTTCATAAATTGTCATATTTTATTTTCGTAAAAGATTCCAAACTTAACTATGCATTTAATATAACTGCTGAAAATTTCTAGAAAATTTCAAAACCGTAAAAAAAAACTTTCTTATATTACATTATTTTTTAGTAATATTCGCATGTTAGTAATAATATTAAAAAAAAAACTTTAGTTGAATAATTGAACTCCATATTTTCATTTCAATATTGAATTTTTATTATTACAGTGCTTTGGTGTCGCAAATATCCAAAATAAAACATATATAGGTATGATTTATCACGAGTTATTAAATTTTTCAATTTAAAAAAACAAATTTTTAATAAATCTATTCTTAAAAATAGCTATTGATCGCCTCAAGAACATATGTGAAAAGCAATTACTTCAAAATAAAAACACAAATTATCAAGTAAAGCTAATTAAGTTCTCGAGTAAAGATAATTTAAAATGCAATTATGTAAATTTATTTAAGAAAATATATACAGACGACTCTTTTAAGCTATTTTTAAGTATTTTTCTTTAAACTAAAACATAGGATAAATTTATTGAAAATTATGTACCTTTTTTAAAAACGCAAATAATACATTAAAAACACTATTTGTACTTATACAATTTCAAACACTTTATTTATTAAAGTTGTCATTACATAGTTTCAAACTCTATTTGGAAAACAATAACACAAACTACATATAAGAAACAAGTAATATGCTTTGCCTAAGTTTTGAATAAGCATCTTAAGTTGAATTTCTTTCTAAGTTATCCCTAAAGATAAAAATAGAAGAAATGTATAAATTTAAAATAAATATACACATAAATAAAAATAAAAATATCATAAAAAATATAACTTACACATTTTAACTTATATATAATTTGAATTTAAAAAAAATCATTTATAGACAAATATTTATATTTTTTTTCTTATAATAAATATATAAAAGAAGTTGTTCAATCATATATAAAAAACATTTAATTTAAAATATCATCTATATTATCTATCATTAAAATATTATGAATTTTGTTTTAAATATGTTCCAAAGCACATGTCACCTAAGGAAGGCACAAAATGCACAATTATCCATTTATAATTGCCATACAAATATGTATGACAAGAAGGTGGGATCAATGCATATATAATAATCTCATATAATTTTCAAATACAAATGGACTCTAATTTTTTAATTTTTTAATTTTTATATACACTAGTATGAAATTTTTGTTTCTTTTTATTTTTATTAATAATAAATATACTCATATTTGTGTTTATACATATTATTTTATTCTTTCAAATATTAATTATTTTTTATAAAAATAAAAATTACAATAAATAAAATTTAACACTATCAAATATTTAATGTAAAAAAATATATTTTTTAATATTAAATAACAAGATCAAAGTTATAATTGTATAAAATTTAATAATAATATTTAAATAAAAATAATAATTATAAAAAAATATAAGAAATATTAAATATATATTTTAAAAGTAAGTTACTAAATTAGGAATATAAATATTAATTTAAAAATTTCAAATTACCTAATAAACAGTTATATACATTTACAGAAATAGATAAGACATACACATCCTAACCATTAAAATACGACATATTAAAATAAGGGTTAAATATGTTTTTAATCCTTTAATTTTTAGTGAAAATTGGAATTAGTGCCTCTTCAAAACTTTGGACTAATTTAGTCCCAAACTTTAGAAATGTGTGAATTTAGTTCTTTTAACCAAATTTTGTTAACTTTATTTGATGTTTCAAACGCATTTCTCAATTAATATTGAAGCAAAAATATGTCAAATAGTATAAACAACTCAAATGCTATCATGAAACGCACTTGAAATATCAAATAAACCTAACAAAATTTAGTTCAAAGACTAAATTCACACATTTTCAAAGTTTGGGGACTAAATTAGACCAAAGTTTTGAAGAGAGATTAATTCCAAATTTCACTAAAAGTTAAGGAATCAAAAACATATTTAATCCTTAAAATAATATCACTAAAAGAATTCACATAGAATTATTTTCAATAATGTATACACTCTATTATTTTATGAAATAAATGATATATATATATATATATATATATATGCATGCATGTGTACACATGGAAATATATATAAAATATATAAAATTTGTATACATTAATGTATGTATTTTATTTATTTATAATTAGTGATAATTTAGCCCATAATTCATAAGAAGAATTTACCATGTTTACTTTTGGCAGGTTACCAGGCTCCAAAGATTTGAATTTAAAAGGGTTGAAAAAAATTTACAAAAAAGTGAAGGTATAAACTACAATTATTTTAAATTTTTTAATACAGCAATATAATATACTAAACAGCTACGATAAAAAAAAAATACTCATAAATTTTTATAAGTATTATAAATCACAAGTTATAGTTAAAGTAAATACCAATAATAATAACTAACATCAGTTAACAAGTACAGATATCTGAAACAAAATCAACCACAACAAAAAAAAAACAATATACTGTAGAAAGTTAATATATTTTTATGCATTAAAGATTAGCGGTTATGATTTATAATATAATAACAGACAAATATCAAAAGCGGTTATTTATTTATATTTAAATTTTAACATAAATCAAACATTTATTGATATAAACATTTTAAAAAACATATTTATGATAAAGTTTAATTGCGAGTATAGTTTTAAGTAATTTAAAACTTCGCTGCAAAGTGGTAGTATATTTTTTATATGAATTATTATAAAGTGACGTTTTTGGGCAACTTGCACCATACTTTATTCTTGGTCTATTGAAGATTGAAATAAACAAAGTGATAACGAAACGAAATTAGGTTAAATATTGAAGGAAAGAGACAGGAAGGTCCAGTTGCCAGTGTGAAAGAACCACAATAAAAGTCACCACTTTAAATCGGACGGAGGAAAAAAAAGGTAGAAAATCAACAGCGGAGAAGGAGCCAGGTGGAAGAAGATAACACATGGCGATAGGTTAGTTGATGCGTCACGTCGGTGGAATAGAATATATAGAAACGAAGATAAGCTACCTTTTTCACAAAGTCAATAAAATCAGCATAAAACCGCAAACCCTAATTTTTTCTCTCTAGATAGATACACACAGAAGAAAGAAAGAGATTAGAGATAGAGAGAGAAAGAGATTCCTTTTATCTCTTTCTCGCTCGTTCCTTCTTGGTTTCCCACTTTGTTTGTTGTGTCGTGGAAGTTGCAGAGCTTGACCTCAACCCACACCAAACCAAACCCCTTTGTTTTCTTTATCCCTTTTTTTCTCACAACCAATCGGGTTCAGGTATCTCTTTGCTTTTTTCGTCAAGATCTGGCGTTTTTCCTTTGCACCTCCTTGAATTTTCCGTGCCCTGCGATTCTTTTTTTTTTGCGATGATGCCATGCCCTATACTTTATTACTTTCTTCTCTAGGTTTAGATCTGATTCCACGCCACTCGATTCTGAGACTCCTTTCTTCGCTTTCATGGGTTCTATCGGTTCAAGGTCATTATTCTAACTTTGCAGTTGAAAGGGGTTCTTCCTGGGTTTCTGCTTGATTTGATGAACGAGGATGATGTAATCGAGCGGATCTTTTTTCTCGTCTTTTGATTGATTCTGTTTTGGTGAATTTTGGCCTTGTTGGTCGTTTTATGGTGGATCTTCTCTTGGTAATTTGCTTGGATTGTGTTTTCTGCTCGTTGTCTGCCTTTTAAGGTGATTTCGAAGTGTTTACAGGGACTGGTGTGGAGTTTGTTTATTATGATTGTATTTGGCAGTTAATTTTGGATCTAAGTAACTTTACGAGGGGATTTGGTTGACCAGAGGCTTAATTAAATTTGCAAACTGATGTTTTGTTAAATTGTTTTTTGCTTTGATCGCAACCAGTAATCAATCTGTTCATGGGAGTTTACGATCTTGTGTCTGTGTTGTGTTTTGCAGGTTGACGCCACTTCTTTGTCTTTACCTTAGAAGTGAGAGTAAGGCTAGGATTGTTTTACTCGGAAAGGAGAAGCTTTTTAGAGGATATATACCTATGGTTAATTCAGTGCCTGATTTTTTGTAGCCTACTTCAATAAATTTGTTGAGGATTTTGCTATTCAATCGTAATAACTAAAGTTTAAAAGAAGGGTTTTTGACTTGTGAGCTCTTTAGAAGACTACTTTGGAGTCATGCCTGTTTCAGGACATGAAGAGGTGTTTATTTCCTTTCTGATTTACAGCTAACTACGATTAGAGAAGCATGCCAATTTGTTCTTTTTTGGATATTGATTACTTGATCTTCTATTGACAGACCGGGGTAAAGTCCTATGCTGGGCAATTTAGTGGTTTAATTGCAGGTGTGCCTATCAAGAAAAGGAGGTTTCCTTCGTTTCAGCCTTCTTCCTCACCTGTGTCTGAGGAACCATGTTCTCTCTCTGAAGAAACTGAGTTACAACGTAAAGAAAATTCAAGCACTTCTCAAGGATCAACTTTATCAAATGCCAGTATTGCAGGTGCACCAATCAAGAAAAGAAGGTTTCCGTTTATTCAGCCTTTTTCGTCCTCTTTGGAAGAGGCTTCACGTTCAGAAGAAAGTGATGCCTTACGGAAGGAACATTCAAGCACCTCACCGGGTTCAACTCTTTCTACTAGTTCTTCTAGTTTATCTGATGCTAATGGAATCCCTGCGCTTGAAGATAAGAAAGCAAGTACTGATGTTGCCAATGCGAACACGGGGCAAAGCAACTCTATCTTCCTTATACCGAAACTTGAGGAACCAAACCTTGGTACGCAATCGTGTACTTTGGATGTCAGGGATAGCAAAGAGACTGTGCTACTCAGTGAAGACATCAATAAAAAGTTGGAATCCCAAATTATCAAGGGCAATCCTGAACTCTTATTGGCTGCAAAGGAAGGTCTTGCTCTTAGCATTGGAACTGAAGTGAGCAAGCAAAATGTCAAAGATATTTGTAGAAAAGAGAGTCCTTTAGTTTCAGGAAGTACTAGTTTATCTTTAAGCTTAGAGGAACACCTCTTTCCAGCTGTTGAAAGTGTGGAGAATGACAAGAGTCGCCTAAAAATAGAGAAATCGGAATCTGTCTCACTGGAATTATCTTTAAGCAAGGAAGACTGCAGTTCTCACAGTTTAAATACTGATGCTAAAACTGATAGGAACAAGACTCCTGTTCATTCTAACAGGGCAAACTGGGATCTTAATACGACAATGGATGCATGGGAAGAATCTGGGACTGAAGCTGGCTTGGTTAAAACATGTGTTGATGGGCTGAAAATTACTGAAAATTTAGTTGTTGAAAAGCAGTTAATGTGTTCTACAGGGATGACCCGACCAACAAGTGTTCTATCTGTGAAGCCAGTGTGTGAAGAGAGTCAGAAAAAAGATTTCACTTTTCCATCAGCGATGTGTGGACAGCAATGTAAATTTGGTGACTCCAGTAATCTATCTCTTACTCCTTTTCTTCAGAAATATACTGAAGAGCCCGCTAAATTATCTGTTAAATTGAATTCTGGTAGTTCTATTCCCAATGTAAGCTTACCTAGTGTGGCGTTGGCAGCAGGTGATGCAAATACTTCTAGTTTTAGGCTGGTAAAGCCAGAACCGTTTGATGGGAACTTGAAAAAGGAATTGAAGGAAGCTAATACCTCTACGCCGGGTTCATTGGACAGCGTGACTGTGAAACAAGAACTATTTCCGCCTATCGTTGAAAAATGTTCTAAGTTGTCCAATGTTAACAATTTAATGAAAGCTGATGCTGTCTCAGTTAAACAGGAAGTAGACCATACAGGTAATCAGGAAAATTCCAATGCTGCTGTGAATAAAAGGGATCGGTTGGATAAAGAATTACAACAAGGATTGGATGACTCTTCTCCTTCATTGGCGATGTCTATTGCGCCTGATACAACACAAATATCTGCCGAGGCAGCTTGTCCTCAAGCGAAACCTGGGTGTACAGCAGAGTTATCAGCCAGTGAAAACACAGTAAGCCAGATTGAAAATATTAGTTCTACGGATGGAGACAATGTTGGGAAAGTTTGTCATGGAACTTGTTTAAATTCCGAGCAAGATACCATAGAAGCAGTTACTGTGCCTGTGGTTGATAATGGTTCAGAGTTGAAAAATTCTGGTCTGAAAATTTCTTCTGCTAGTACCGAGGAAAAAAATGCTGCCAATCGTGATGCATGCAGATTGAAACTCATGAATGAGCCTCTGGCTGCTACCCGGGGCTCTGGTGAAGGCTGTGCAAGTGATGAAGAAAAGATAACCCTGTCAGGTGACATGTTGGAGGAGGATTCTTATGGTTCCGATTACGAGTCAGATGAGAATCATGCTGTAACTATTCCTGTGGATACTGAGCGGTATGTTGAAGATGATGATTATGAAGATGGTGAGGTTCGGGAACCACTGGATCCTTCCATAGCAGAGGACAACATATGTGAGGTAAGAGAAGTAGAGCACCCTGACTGTAGTAACTTTGTAAATAAGCAGATGGAGAAAGGAATGGTGAGTGGTGATTGTGCCGCTCAATATCAGGTAGTGGAAAATGACAACAAGACTGTAATTCAAAGTGAAATAAATTGTGAAGATGCTATGGACATTGAAATGCACGAGAGGTCTGGTAAGGTCGTTGACAAAAATGTGTGTCTGCAAGAATCATTGGAAGACGAGAAGTCCAGCATTGCTGCTCATGGCAACAAACCAGTTAATGTTTTGCAAAAGAAAGCATTAGATCTTTTGGAAGGTAAAAACGTCTCTGAAGCTCTGGTGACAGAATCACTTTCCAATCAAGCTACTGATGGAAGCAATGGGGTTGATGTCCAATGTGCTGATGAGGTTGTCAAAACAACTGACACTGTTAAACAAACTGATCTAGAATTGCCAAATATGGAATTGTCTGCAAATGCCAATGATGCATCCAAAGATGTTAATAATGGTGGTAATCCAGGTAGAATTATAGATCTGTCTCGAGCTACTAGTTCTTCATCCCCTGGTAAAACTAGGTCCATTTCAGGCAGATCACAACTGTCATCTCGACCTGCAAGAGATGTACTGTCTGACGCACTTGATGGGGATAAATTACAGAGAGGAAGGTATACTTTTTAGTAGTATGAATAACTTATTTCTTCTTTATCCACTGAGTTTGTTTTCGTATCCTCAAGTCGTATTCTTCTTGTTTTAATTTTCAGAGATGATGTTTATATTGATGGCCCTCACAAATTTTCAAGAGAAAGACATCAGGATATGTCCCCTAGAAACTCTAGGTTGAATTTTGGGCGTGGTCGAGGAAGACTCAATAGTCGTCTAGACTCAGTTCGTAGTGAATGGGAATCTGACCGTGAATTTTCTGGCGAGTTTTATAATGGTCCAAATCAGTTCCGTGGGCCGAGGCCTAAATATGCATCTGCTTTTGCCAATACTGATCTGGAGTACAACAATGTTGCACCCGATGGCTCATATGTTGGGAATGGTCGATTAGGCAGAAAGCCGATGAGTGATGGCTCTTATATAGCACCAAGGAGGCGTTCACCAGGAGGTAGAGATGGCATCCAAATTGGTCATAGAAATCCAAGAAACATTAGTCCAAATAGATGTATTGGTGATGGTTCAGACTTGGTTGGGGTGAGGCACAATGATAAATTTTTGAGAGGTTTGCCTGAGGATAACTTGGATGCAATGTTCACACGTCCCCAGACATTTGAGGGAATGGATGGTCGGTTTACAAGGGGGAGTAGGAATTTTTCTTCCATGCCGAGAAGAGGCCTTCCTCGAATGCGTTCCAAATCACCCATAAGATCTAGGAGTCGCTCACCCGGTCCATGGTCATCTCCGAGAAGGAGGTCTCCTAGAAGAAGATCCCCTGATAGTTTTGGTGGACATCCGGAACTAAACCATAGAAGATCACCGTTTTACAGGGTTGACAGGATGAGGTCCCCCGATCGCCCTGTTTTCCCTGCAGAGAGAGTGGTGAGGAGACATGGTTCACCCTCGTTTATGTCAAGACCTTCTAATGATATGAGGGACATTGATTCTGCCAGGGACCATGGACATCCAAGGTCTGGTCGAATTCTAATCAGGAACCGGAGGTTTGATGTTGTAGATCCTCGGGACCGCACGGATAACGATGATGACTACTTTGGGGGCCCCATGCATTCTGGTAGGTTACTCGAGCTTAGTGGTGAAGGAAACGGTGAGGACAGAAGAAGGTTTGGAGAGAGACGAGGACCTGTGCGTACTTTCAGGCCTCCATACAATAACAACGTTGGTGAGAATTTTCACCTTAATGCAGAAGAGGGACCTAGGCACTATAGATTCTGTTCAGATGATTCAGATTTTCATGAAAGAGGAGGCAACAACATACGGGAAAGGGACTTTGACAGGCGAATGAAGGGGCGACCGGGAAATGTGCCACCACCCAGAAGAACAAGAAATATGGACGAGCAGGAAGAGAACTTCAGACATGGTGGTGGTGGTGGTGGTGGAGGAGGAGGAGGAGGACAGGTTTGGAGTGACGACAGTTTTGATGATATTTCACGGGTGAAGAGGAAAAGATTTTGATTTCCCCCTCATAGTCTTCTTATGGATAGTACATAAGCCTCCTGCGGAATGTTGGAGGAGTATTATGGAATTTACATTTGCTGGGTTTTCACCTACAGAATTAGAGTTAGATTATAATAATACTAATGCTCATTTTCCTTACTACTACCTATAGCTTTAGATTCTAAAAAGCATGCGTGCGCATCATCAAATGTGGCAAAGATTTGTAGGGGAAGAAGTAAATTATGAAATGAAGGGTTGGTGAAGGAATGAGATGAAGTGTGGCTCCGAATGGAGGAAGGGTAATGTGCATGCAACCCAACAGACATTTTCGTTTTTAATAATTTACTTACTGGAATGATGTTATTGGTTCTTTTCACTTTCCTGTTCCTACCAGCAATGGGAAGTAGTACTAAAATAAAATTAAAAATCAAGGAAAGGTATATTAAATGCAGATAAATAACATTAAATGAAGTTTAATCTGTCAATTATTGACAGCGACCGCTATTATGTGGTCAATGGGAGAACCAACCCACCACAAAATTTTATTCATTCACGCCAACACTTATTTCCTGCCGTCCATGATGACGAGTGTCTTCGTATTTATCAATTTTTTGGTTACCGAGTAAGTAAATTATTTTTGTAATCACAATAATTTAATAACCACTCTACAAATCCAAAAAATCATAATCTCAATTAGAAGAAAGAATAAACTTAATATAAATTTTTATTTAATTTCTAAATAACAGTTTAGAATAATTAAGAATAATTACATGTATTTTTTTCCTCATTTATTAAAATACAGTTTTTCACATTATAGAAGTTGAAAAAACAATGCAATTGTTACTCTTTGTCATTAAATTTTTGTTTTGATGAATATTACTTGGTAAAGCTAAAATAAGAATGACTGTTTTTATTTTTATTTTTACATGTAAGAACAACAGGTGAAGTTTGAAATTTAAGGTAGAAAAGAAAAAGGAAGAATCACAAATCTATGGACAAATCTTTTATTTTTTTATTGTTAGATTCAAACTAGACCATCATCAGTAAAGATATATATGACTAAAATATATATTTTTTTAATTTTATTTTTTAATTTTTTTCTTGATTCATAAAATATATATGGATTACGTATATCATTTTAGTTTATTGTCTAGGACAATTTATTTCATAAACTACAATTTCTATGAATTGTGTGTTTGAAAATTACATATAATATGCTTTTGGTTTGACATTTTACTTTTCTACAAGGAAGAAAAACTTGATGTCAATTCTCTTTTTAATATTTTTAATGAACAGAATAAACTAATAGTGATCATTGTTTCAAATGTGATTATTTTATTTAGTGGTTATGTTTTTTTTTTACCAATTTACTAAAATTAAAATTTTAAAAAGTTATCAATAGGAATAAATCGTTAGCACAACTTAATTCATTGTATATTTTCGATTGAAATTATGTGAAGATTACACCACTTCAATTCATACCATTTTAAGTTAAAATTGTGTTACTTTAACATAACTTTTACTAAAATTGAATTAAAATTGTCATTTTAACGTGAGATTAATTTAAAATGCTAAAGTGACATTATCTTAATAGATTTTTCTTATAATAAAATTATGTAAAAACGACACAACTGATCTATATCTATTTTATTTTAAGTGACTATTTTTATAAATAAAGAAAAAGTACACTAGTTTGATAAGAAAACCTACAATAAATATAATTAAACTATAATAATATGATGTATACATTAAAAACAATTGTAACTAATTATAGTAATAAAAGGCTAAATAATAAAAAAATCTAAATAATACAGAAGGAAAATACACACACAATTGTAATAAAGGAAAAGATAATAACTCTTTTTCACAAAAAAAAAAAAAGTATACTAGATAAATATATGATAACTAACTAAAAATAAGTCTTGAAAAAAGAAGAAGGAAATTAGCAGTACTAATATTTGATGAGTAGACGAATAGAGAAGGCTAGGGTCTGAGAAATTGTTGATCAACCACTGGAGCAAGACACCAAGAATGAGAGGTAGTGCTACCACTCTCTGGCGATTGGCAAGACGACCGCGTCTTCCATTCCAACAACCCGCGCAAGTTAGCAATAATAACACTGCGCTCTCTATCGCACGCCGCCTCTGCGCAACCGCGCCCTTTCGCCGCAATGCGTTCTCCTCTTCCCGTCACCCACCACCCTTTCGATTCTCCACCGGTCTGTCCCTTTCTTCTTCCATTTTTCTCAATTTTTCCAATGCAATGGGTTTTCATTTCTGACCTCACAGGGCAACGTAGGAGCATGTTCATCCAAACGCAGGCCACGCCCAATCCCTCCTCTCTCATGTTTTATCCCGACAGGCCTGTCATGCAGGTTGGAAGCGCCGACTTTCCTAACCCTCGCTCCGCCATGAATTCCCCGCTCGCCAAATCGCTCTTCGCAATAGACGGTCTCTTTCTTTCATTTCTTCGTTCGCTTTCCCTTTTTCCAGTTTTGTTAGGGATTCTATCGGCTTCCTCCCCGTTTGCCTTGCAGGCGTTACTCGCGTTTTCTTTGGATCCGATTTCGTTACCGTTACGAAATCGGAAGACGCTGCCTGGGAATTTCTGAAACCCGAGGTCTTTGCCGCTATTATGGATTTCTACTCTTCCGGTCAGCCTCTCTTTTTAGATTCTCAAGCTGCCGCCGCCATGGACACGGCTATTCACCAAGTAAGCATTTTTCGATAATTCGTGAGACTCCGTGACTTGGATTTAGTTGCAGTTTGTTAGGTATTTGTTGTACTGGTCACCGGTCAGGATTAGAGTTTCTCGGGTGTTTAATCCTCGTAGGAGAACAATAACAAAATCTCTAGAGAAAAGAGAACTGCACGGAGGGTTTTATTCAATTCCTAATCTGGGCTTTGTTTTTTATGTGCGGTTCGCAATATTAAGTGTTAGAATTTCGAGTCTTGACCTGACTGAACTCTGAAAACTGGTTCTTGAAGCAATTATTGCACCTCTTATAACGGATTGGACATCTCGAGTCAGAAGTTTGTAGGATTGGACGTGTGTGGACGGGTGATCTGATCCTGGTCTGATATGTCCAACAGCAATCATTGGCAAAGTCTCCTATATCATCTTAGAATTTAAGGTTCTGGTTTGGAACAACATTAAAAGTTAGTTCTTCGTGTGAGAGTTGTCTTTAACTTATATACACTACTATTTGTCATATTGATAGTAAATATGAGATCTTTAACAAATATCTTAGTTAATCATGTTATTTTAGTAAACATGCAGACAGTATTTTTAAGATTCTGTACAATGGTCGGAGTGTCCCGGAGTATGAGATTTGCCTGTCTTGATCTTGTAGTATATGGGAAGTTTGAGAAGGGCAGAACTAAATGGTATGTATACTTGTTTTAATACAGGATGATTCTGAAACAGTGGCGATGATCAAGGAGCTGTTAGAGACTCGAATTCGGCCAGCAGTGCAAGATGATGGTGGGGACATCGTATATAGAGGTTTTGACCCGTAAGTTCCTTTTAACTTCTTTATTTTAAAAATATCGAGGAAGAGCATGGATATATAATAGACTAACTTTTGATACAACTTTAAAAGAAAATGGGAAAACAGATGGTAAAAAATTAACTTTATTGCACAATTCTTAGGAGGGATCCTAAGGAAATTGATAGTGCAGAAGCATATTCCTCAAGTCCCAGGAAATTCTTGAGCCATTGTGATGGCTTTCCCTCCCAATCTAAAAACATTCATTCTATTGCTTCCCTCTTTTTTTATACATATAACATGTCAATTGTTCTAACTAAACTAACCTACTGTCATGAATTGTCCTCGGAGCCGTTACTGACTATACTGTACTAAGTGTTAATATTTGGTCAATTATCTGACTGATATTTTTACTGACTGGTATTTTATGTTGTGGATTTCTCCAGAGATACTGGAATAGTAAAACTTAAAATGCAAGGGGCATGCAGTGGTTGCCCAAGTTCATCGGTGACTCTGAAATCAGGCATTGAAAATATGTTGATGCATTATGTTCCTGAGGTAACAAATTTGGCAATATCTTTTTGTGATGAGCACAATGTATTTATTATTGTTATCATACCTGATGGTGAACTTAATCTTCCTTTAGCATTGAAATTGTAACATCCCAAAAATACAGTGTAAAACCATATACGAGAATAATCACATATTAAGAATACTACAGATCAATTCAACACTTAGCGAGATACAATTACGGCCGACCGGCCTTACATAACAGCAGGAAAATTTAAGACCGAACGCTAGCTAACACTAGACCGAACGGTGTACAAAATAACTTATACCGAACGGTCTTACAAAAGATAAAGCTAATAACAGACCGAACGTTCCTAAGGTTCGGCCTTCACTTCCGCCTCTTCCAATACTTCTTCCAGCAGCTCTTCTCCTTATGCTCACATTCACAAGGATGATAATTGCAACAGGACAACAACAGGACGCACAACACAAACAAAATGATAAACAGGGTAAGCTTATGTAATTTAATTTATTCCATGACAACATACAACAATCATAATTAAATCAACAACACCCAAATCATCATTCATACATCATGACATGCAAAGAACGACCACTTGACTCTAATTGTCCGCAATGTATGAATCCTGTGTAGCTACGACGTTCGTGTACCCGGGTGATGTAGTAACTGGGATGCCCTCAACAGCTGCCACCCGAGGTTAATCCGTTCCGTCCAAGTTAACCTTATGGACTAGGATCTCCTGTCATTCCCACACATGACTTACTCCTCTCTACTTGAGAATGGGTAATCATGGAATATCAGGATAAACGCCCGCTAAGCTTTGTCCACATTCATACTTTACAATTCAATAACCACTATCTGAGATATTCCTCCCTGGAATACTCGTTCATCACCAAACTATTTCATTCACATCACATTTCAAATTCTCTCATACTTTATCATCCATATATTCAAATGAAATAAGATCATACGTTCTCATCATAGCATAAGTATGACTGGAATAACACTTCTTAGAAACTAACATGACGGAGCGCTATTTACGAATTTATCCACCTCAATAAACAGACCCCTAAGAGTTCAAACTGGACGACATGAAGCCTAGGCCGAGTACTAAGACTCTAGGTCGAACACCTTTTAAAGACCAACACTGTTTGACACCCAATATTAATACTGATGAGAAACTATGAAGTAACGAACGCTATCGAGTTTGGCTGAAGACTCTTATTCTAAAAACGGTAATAATAGATTACTGAAACAAAACCCCGCGCTTGGTTTAAGACCGAGCCCTGTAGAAACCGAACACTATCGAATGAGCGCTGGTCCAAGACCAAGTACTTATCAGGAACGAGCGCTACTG